CCTTAAAATATTGTGGAAGGTTAAACAGAAGCAAGGCATTTGGGCGACTTTCGTTCTCTTCTTGTCGCATTTTGCGAGGAAAAGAACTTCTTCGAGCCGGTTTACCAAAATTGATCCTCTTGCATCAACTTATTCAAAGGTGTTGGTGCATAAAGGAAATAGTAGCTTCTGGTTTAATCAATGGTCAAGTTTGGGCCGTATATGGGACATCCAGGATACGGATCCTCCAATGCCGAATCTAACAATCCGGGAATTTTTCTCAATGAAGAATCTCTACTTACAAGCGATTCAGGGTTGGTTGGAGGATAGAGCTTTTCATGCCTTGGAGGAAATGGATTTATTCTTCAACGAGGGGGAAGATAAACTGATTTGGAAACCGACCCCATTGGGAGTTTTCACAATCAATTCAGCGTATGAAGCATTACGGAGGAAGCAAGTTGAAAACCCTAGCCTGCGGAATGTATGGCACAAATTCATTCCCTTGCGCATCTCCTTCGTCATGTGGAAGTTTGGTAACTCACTTCTCCCTTTTACGGAGAATTTATGTAGAATGGGCATATATTTGCAACCTTCAATTTGCTGGAAGTGTAAGTTTTCCTCCGATTCAATGAGGCATCAATTCCTTGAGTGTGCTTTTGCGCGCCAGGTCTGGAATTTTTTACCGATCTTTTTGGTCAGGTTGTGCATGGTGCAAGCCTTGGAGAATACTTAAATTCATGGTGGCTATCAGGAAACTTTAAAACAGCTATTGGGGTCATAAAGAAGGTTTTGCCATCCTTTGTAGTGTGGGAATTATGGAAGGCGCGAAACAAGTTCTTTTTTGAAAATGTTGACTCTACTTTTTAGGTGTCATCAAAGCTGTCAAAGAGCATCTTCATGGAATGATGTTAGTCCATATACTCAAGGCTCGAAATGTTGTAGAGAGGGAGTCGCTTCAGCAGCTCTTTCCAAATACGCCTTTCAGTCTTAAACAGAAAAAGGTGCGCAAGGTTTCTTGGCAACAACAGCGCAAGTATGTGCTGAACACTGATGGATCTTCCAACACTCAAGCTGCTGGGTACGGCTTTGTGATCAGAGGTGAGAAGGGGCTTTTTCTTTATGGGGAAGCTGGATTTTTGGGAAGTGGAGATAGTTTTCAAGCAGAGGTTTATGGCCTAATATTTGGAGTTCAGAAATGTGAGCATCTTGATCTGTTCCAGGTGGAAGTTCAAACGGATAACCAATTTCTGGCAAACATTCTTGCCTCTGGAGGTCCTTGTCCGTGGAGATTCTATTCGAGTTGAAAGAGATTCTTGCAATTCTTGAGAGAAGGGATTACTCTATACACCGCATTTACAGAGAAGCGAATGTAGTAGCAGATAGTTTAGCTGGATGTGCTTCAGATGAACTTTTAGCAGAATTTTTATCCTTAGGAGACCTTCCGAGCTTTACTAGGGGTCTCATTACTCTAGATCAACAATCTATGCCGTATATGAGAGTGCAATAATAGTTTAGATGTAATAGTCAGATACTACCTTTCTTGTATCCTGGTAAGTCGTATGCACTACCAGCTTTGACCTATGAATTTTAATAATATATATGGTAAGAAGGGAACTAAGGAACTGGATGATATATATGTTCATCCCTTGGGTGCATTTATATCATCTGGCTATAATTGACTTAAAAATCCATCTCTTGGGTAGATCCCTTGAGTGTTTTTGAGTTAGTTAGAACCTGAATCCTCTTCTGAACCTTCTTTTTGGCTTAAAAAAAAAAAAGAATGCTGGGAAAAAAATAAATAAAAATTGAGAACCTTTTAATGCTTACATCACTGGATTTTAAGGAGGTCAATTGGTCTCTAGAACCCGGGAGACTAGACCTTTGGATGTTCTTGTAGGAGTACGAGCAATTCCACCTTTCAATACAAAAAAAATCAAATGAATTATTTATCCAATAAAAATAATAAAAATATTAGTAATTTTTAAATTAAGAGTATAGGAAATAAACTCACGGATAAACTAAAAGAACTGTAGGATCCTCTTCAAATCTCTTTAAAATTCTTTGGAGCTGTAGGATCCAACCATCTTCTTCATGAACCCGTGAAGTACTTGCTTGTTATTGCCTTGGACCATCTTGTTCACCCTCATCCATGTGATCATCTTGTGCAAAGAAAGATCTACCAAAATGATTGTTCCCATCTTCTTGGTCAGTGATATCCTCCGTCTCAATGTACAAATCCACACTTGTCATTAGTTCGAGGTGATAGATGATCCCAACATGTGAATCATTCTTTATCTTTATGGTGCGCCTTACACCGTGAGTCACTAATATTAACGAAATGTGGAGTTTCCTAGCTATTTCAAGATTCCAACCGAATGTCACACAAATCAAACTAACCAACTCATCATATGACAACCTATTATCAATAACAAGAGTGTTGTCCGGCTTATTCTCAAATGTGTTCACTACACCATTCTCTATCACATACTTGCTTTTATGAAACAAATTAAGTATGCATAGCCCGTGCGTGGATATTTTAACTGTTTATTAAGTGACAAAAGTCATTAACTATATTTATCGTAATCTCACAAAAAAAAAAAAACAATTCTCACCTTAAAAAACAAAAAACAACAACTCCTTTCTCGTTAAATTATCCATATAAATTATTCCTAAATCCTATCAATTATCCATACAAACAAAATCCATCCAAATTAATTAAATTAACCTCTATCAATTCTTAAAACTACAACAATCCTAACCTATAAACTCAACAACAACATCTACATTACCATATTACATTCACAATCATTAATCCTAAGCCCTACCAATCTTCCATCTTCAAAATAATATAAATACACAACAAAACAACTAATAAAACATTGATTTAATGACTAACCTTGTTAGAATAACGATTCTTGTTACATTTAGCGGTAATGTGCGTCCAAAATCCTGAAGAATTTCGGCCACAACCTTTCCTAGCCCTCAAAAATTGAAAATTTGACGTTTCTGATTCGCCAAATCTGAGAGTCACTATTTATGTGGACCGAAGAGTGCATTGATTGAGTACGAAGAGAAACTAGGATTAGTAACAACATCAGAGGAAGAAAGGAAGAAGCAACTATGAGTTGTTGATGAGGATTCAAGACTCAATCACAACTGGCGTTTGATTGAAGAAGATTGCGGAACTAATGGATTTGTTGTTGATGATCAAGAAGTCAAAGTTATGAAATTCAGCGGGTTTTGTGATCAAAATGTCTTCCCATTCAGATCAGATTTCCAGCCAGTTCAGTTCGGAGGTGACACGCACGAGCCTCATCCAGTCAATTTTGTTTTATGTTTGGCTGCACTTGCTTGCTAGCTAGTATTTGGAAGGTTGCTAGATTGTAATCGCCTTATATAGCGTTACATTAGGATGTCGAAGCCAAACCTAGCTATGAGATCTGGATATTATGTAATCGCCTTCTTTTTGTTATCAATTTATAGCATTTTTCATCAATATATTATGTAATTTTTATAAATTTCCTCAATCTGTAACACTTTCTTTCTACTAAAAACATGAATTTTGTTACAGTAGCGAAAAAGGTCTAATAAGTAGTCCCTTCAAGTTAATTGATTATAACCTCGAAATTAGCTTGAGATTCTCCCACGTTCTACATTCGTAAAAGGCAAGGCCTACTTAGATTGATCAAAACGAAGGAAGATAAATAATAATAATAATAATAATAATAATAATAATAATAATAATAATAATAAGCATCCGTACATAACGCGAGGCGAATAAAATCTGGTTGATTTCACTATGTTATTCAACATCACAGAAGTAGAATTAAGATCATCTCCTAAGGTCTACGCCTCTACGGTGGTAGCTCTTGAAAAAAAAATGCCACTTAATATTTGCGTTTGTCACATTATCTTTCTCCAATCCTGAACTAAACCGACATGATAGGGAAATTGGGGGGCCTGTAATTCTACTCACAAATAGAATATAATCATGACAGCTTAAAGCCATGATTGATAATGATTTTTCCAAAGGAAATGACAACAAGAGGGGCAACCTTAATATATACGTACGTAACTATTTATGGACCAAACGGGACCTGATTCTCGCTGTCTCCCACACGATCGAAGCAAGTGCGTTGTAACACGTTGGGACATTTCCAGTTTTGAGATTGAATTCCAAATGGAAGAAAGTTCAACTTGTTACAGAATTTTGATGATGAAATCCATGCTTTAAACTTAAATGCACAATAACTAGCTTCCAAGTTCCAACTAACAGATATAATATAGCAATTTATATTATTATTTTTACTACTGAAACTCAATTGTATATTGTACTAAATCATAATAATTACAGGTTCACTTTAGCATTTGTTGGAGAAAAATAAAAAGAAGTATACAAATTTTGGGGGTATTTTACACACAAGTTGTTCAAAACTACTACTCGGAGTAGTAACTTTCAAGAAGTAAAATTTCCCAACTGAACCATCCGAAAAATTTTTACTATCTACATGTTTTATAAAAATAGTCTAGATATTTTGAAAAAAGATGAGAGTGGTCGATATATATCCAGTGACAAAATACAGTGAAAATATATAGTGACAAATGAAAAGACAAATACACCATTCACTTACTGAATATGTTTATTTATTAATCAAGGGTAAAAATATAATATTAGGGGGAAAATAAAACTTCAATGGGAATGTAGCAAAAACTTAGGGGCCATAATTAATTCACATGAGTCACTATATAGTCACTATTTTTATTCAATATTTATATATCTATAAATATATCATTTTCCTATATTCATTCATCCCAATGGTAAAATCTATGTCAACTAATTTGACTGTAAGATAAAATGAGACATCAAAGGTGTGATAGAAAATCTAAAGCCAATTTCACCCGTTTCACTCATTAGTCATTATCAACGATTCATCAATCTATAAATTGCGACCTGGGCAGATCCCAAAAAAACCCACCCAATTTCTCTTTGCATTAAGCCTTTTGATCATCCATCCATCAGCATGAAATCTTCTCAAAGTTCCATGATCTTGTTGATGGTGATAGTAGGGATACTAATTCTTGGTGAGCCACAAGCAAGTGGGGCTTCAGTGAATTGTGATCCAGCCCAGCTGAGTCCATGCGCTCCGGCGATCTTTTCCGGCGAACGTCCGACGGGGACATGTTGCGTGAAGCTGAAGGAACAGAGGCCATGCTTTTGTAAGTATCTGAAAGATCCAAACTTCAAGGACTACATTAACTCCCCAAATGCAAAGATGATTGCTAAGGTCTGTGGTGTTCGCCAGCCCAAATGCTAAAACTATCTTAATTTGCATGTCACAAAAGTACATTACATCATTTATTATGATGGATTATTCACCAAAAAATCAGTTTATTAAACAAAAGAGTAATCCTAATAATGTACTCATGAAGCAGCTTATATTTAATAAAGTACTACTTTTTCTTTTTTGGTTGAGTTAATGATATTATTATAGCCATGATGATTAACTAACAGACTCCTCAAATCTATGACCCTGTTTAATTTGCTCGTGTGTCGTCGTCCACCCCTTTGTTTGTTTCATGGAAATTTAGCTTAGTTCTATACTAGATTTCGCCCATTTTGATTGAAGGTACAGTATAATTTCCAAGACTATACATATTGATATGCAACTTTGGGTAAAATTTTGATCATTTGTATTCGTCCAAGAAGATGTGGCACAATCGGCATAAGTTTCCAACAAACATTAAATGTGGGAAAAGCAACTGGTTTGGCACAGTATGATTTATCTAAGGTCCCAAACGTACATATAATTAGACAATATAATTATCGGTACATATACATGAAATACCATACAAAAACAGAAAATTATGGTTTTCTTAAAGGACATTAGGAGGCTGTTACTTAATGGAATTTCACATACTAAAAGTATTTCTTTTTGTTTCGAAATTAACTAAAAGTAGAAGTTATTTTGATGATTAAATTAAAAATTAGTGACAAAAAAATATGTTATAGATTGCATTGATTTGTTTGCAATTAAATTGTAGTATTAAAGCATCGTGAAAATTACATGTACGTTCCTCACAGCTAAACAAACTACAAGATGGTCATCGTAAATCCTCTTTTCAACATAAAGGATCCATGAGAACTGATCAAAAGTCCTCAATTGGATGAAATACACTCTATGGACAATTCTTCTCAAATTAAGAGATCAACTTTTGGTAAATTTGGCAAAATGCGGTCCTCGATTGTAAATCTAGGCTTAGGCTACTGGTTTAGTTCTTTGATTGTAATTAATAAAAGGTAAATGAGGAGAAAATGATCATAATCAAGTTGCTAGTCTTTTCGGAATGTATCGTTGCAGCATTTCATTGAACATATTGACATAACTACGTATACCAATGATATACTGCCCATCGGCATTGATGAAAGAGTATATCTGATCATTAACAAGTACGCTCTCAGTACGTTGTTCAATGAGGATGGATCCTGATCAAAAGACCGAATATGGATGAAGAATATTGCTACATCCGTTCCAAGAACATAGTCCAACTTGGAAAATTAAAAGATAGAAATTGGATTACTTAATCTTGCAAATAAAAAAATAATATGAAGTATTGAGCAGAGTTTCACGTCTATTTATCAATTTCATAATCAATTTTAGATTATACTAATCTCATAAGTCTAATTTTAGATCTACATTCCTAAAATTGAACTATTTTTTGGGACCAAAATATCACCTTTTTACTCCAGTCATCACTAACAATGGACATCACTATCCATAGATTATTAGTCTGGTCGTATCAAGCAAGGCAGCGAGTTATACAAGTAGAATAGAGAGAATATGAAGTAACCACTGACACTTTACCTAAGAGAGGAATCCTAAATCCGGACACAAACATTCCAAATTAAGCTTGCTATTGCTGCAGTAAGAACCTCAACAAACCATCTGGAAGACTCTCTCGTGTGTGAAGGACAATCCTAAAACTTGGGCCATAGAAGGTAATCAATACTCCAAAAAGAATTTCACAATGCAACTCATCTCACCTACTCCCAATGACAAAAGAATGATGGATATGCCAGTCAGAAGAAGGTCCTAGCCATCTACAGCGGAACCGCACCAGATCGCAAAACTTCACACCAAAAACAAAATGATTACCACTAAGAAAATATTAAAAAAAAATTAGAATAAAGAATGACACTTATAATTGGCCACACATCTCGTAAACAACACAAGGGTCTGTCAATTAAATAACATCAAAACAATCCGCACCAACATGCACCATATAACCATATAACCCACACCAACATTTATAAATATTCAATATAAACAATCCATATAACTGCCACCATCATTAAAAAAAGTGAGACAAAATTTTGTATAACTGAACTTATTTTCTGTTTCACCTGACACATATGTTTGATTCGGAATTTTTTAATCTTATGTACTCCTTCTATTCTAAAACATATGTCATTTCAGGCATTACAAATTTTTTATATATATAGCATTTTACAAAATTGATCCAACTTTTATAATATTTTTCCACTATTATTCTCCTTGCAGTTGAAATGAAATCATATTTAAACTTAAATTGTATTCCTCGGTAATGAGTTGTATGAATAATAAATATGTGTAATTTTGTATTTCAAACACATTATTTAATGTTTCATTGGTATTGATGAAATTGCCAGAAAGACATACATTTTATAATGGGATGAGTAAACTTAAATTTTTAATACAGAGGGGTAAGAATTAATTTTTTTACTATATATTTTGACTAAATTTCTAATTGTGTACTCTCTCCAGTTCTTATTATAAGACATTTTAATTTTGTCCTAAATTACACCTAAGATGTCTTTTTAATTGGAAAAAAATTGAAAGTGTTGATACGTGTATCCTTTTAACAATTTTTGAACTCTTTTAATTTTTATATTTATTTTCAGTACTTGATAACTAATAAATTGCCATGAGTGATTGTTAAAATATATATATATATATACATATAAATTGTTCTTTATGTGAAAACTGGAAACAAAGAAGTGGAAAACCATCTCCATCAAATAATTGGAGATTATAATCGGGCTTGAATTATTAAAAACGAAAAGGAATCATCTTTTTCTGTCCATATTTCCGTGACCAGTATTGATTGGGTTTCACATCACAGGCTATAAATAACACACCCCCCCTGCCCCTTATTCCTCTGAAGAGCTTGTAGCGTTATTTCTTAAAGCAAGTAAAAAGAGACAATCATAAATCTTCTCCTACGTCATCTTCAACATTGAAGCGAGAGAGCATCATGCAGATCTTCGTCAAAACCCTAACCGGAAAGACCATCACTCTCGAAGTTGAGAACAGCGACACTGTCGACAAAGTCAAGGCAAAAATTCAGGATAAAGAAGGGATCCCCACGGATCAGCAGAGGCTGATTTTCGCGGGCAAGCAGTTGGAAGACGGTCATACTCTCGCCGACTACAATGTTCAGAAAGAGTCTACTCTTCATCTGGTTCTGAGGCTTAGAGGAGGAATACAAATCAAGGTCAAGACCCTTACAGGAAAAGAAATAGAAATCGATGTCGAACCGGCTGATACAGTGGACAGGATCAAGGAAAGGGTTGAAGAAAAGGAAGGGATTCCCCCAGTGCAGCAAAGGTTAATTTTTGCGGGCAAACAACTCGCGGATGACAAAACCGCTAAGGACTATAACATTGAGGGTGGTTCAGTGATCCACCTTGTTCTTGCTTTGAGGGGTGGTTGTTTCGATTACGCTTTGCATTCCTTCTAGGAACCTTAGTACTTAATTTTCTTCTATATGTACTTTTTAGGAAATTATGGTTGAAGAATTTTGACGCTGGCACTTAATGTCATTGTCCTCCTAAAATATTAATTATCTATCTATTGGTTATTGGCACCGTATTTGTTCATGGGGTTTTTTTTTTCTCTGTAAATTACTAACGATTAGTAAGATTTTTTGCAAAACAAAATTGTCACAGCTTTAGTGAGATTGCTGTATTTTGACGTTAATTAAAGTTTGTATAAACTGAGCAAATTTGTCATGAAAAGGGTATTGCTGAATCTGGATTGTACTATGTCCGCAGGCGTAATATCTCCAGTGATAAATTAAAATTATGCCGTTCATACTTATGGGATAGTAGAAAGTTCAGGGAATTATTACTTTTGGTTTGACACACCAAATTTTTATAAAATTTATGCGAGACTACTAATATGAAACTAAGAATAAAAACAAAGAGAGGAGACAAGAGAGTAGAGAGAGATAAGAGACTTATATTCAAATGTATTTTGAAGTATGAATGAGCTCCCTATTTATATAAGAAGTAGGGGATTAAACTGTTGAAAATGAATCACCTATCATTAATATTAAATACTACAGAATCATATATCCTTGATTGTGAATAAAATAACACATATTTATTGTGGACATTCAATCAAATCAAATCAAATATTTCATAATACTCCCCCTTTGAATATCTCTTTGTAGAATAATGGCTCGTTAAAACATTACTAGGAAAAACCCTTTAGGATAAAACCCTAGTGAAGGAAAAAGAGTATATTTCTCAACGTGGCGCAGTCTCATTAAAAACCTTGTCAGGAAAATCCATTGGGACATACCCTCGATCAAGGAAAAAAATGTACAGCGTTGGTTACTCCCTCTGTTAAGTACACCACATGTAATCTTCTCGTTTCATGTCAAGCTATCGACCAAGTTAATGATTGTTAAGTCAATAATAGACAGTTTATTTCGACTTCTCATGTACACGGTTGTCTTCATATACCTGTATAATCTTGAGTGTTTTATAATAATGGAGATGCATGACCATCATACCTTGAAGGTATCAATATACAACTTTCAAGTCTTGACTTATTGAATAGATAAACCAAAACTTTATATGGTACTTCAGGATCAAATCGGTCTACATAATTAATAGAAAGTCAAGAAGAAGGATCTATCTGCACATCAAGATTTTAATTAAGTGCGTTCAACGGGTGTTGAATATACACAAGTTAAACTTGACGAGTCATAAATTAACCATAGGCTTATTAGGCCTAGGATTAAGTTACTTGGAGATTAAGTCACCGCCTAAACCTAACACCACCTCTTTTAAGTTACTTGCCTCTCTCATAATTCATATCTTCTACCTATCTTCTACACCTTCTACACACGACATACATCACTCTCTCTCTATTATCTCTATTCTCTTATTGACTTAAGTATCGGAGAGTCTACCCTCAGGAGACACCGGAGACTCTGTCTTGCAGGTTTTAGGCCATTTGCCGCCACCTAGGTCATCATCGCCGCCCGCCCTAAGCACCGTAAAAATCCAAGTTTCGTCAAGTGGCATGCCCAGTGGGACAGATTTGTTTGGTCTTCACAACCAAATAAATTTCTTAGCGAAGCACAGAATCGTTTGTATCTTTCACAACCACGGTGTTAATTCGTTGCTCCGATTTTGCAACTAGAAGATCACGCAAAAAATTATCTTTGTTTGGCCAAGAAAACGTCAGCCGATAGGTAGCACAAAGAATCTTTCGATTGCACAAATAATCGAGGAGCTGCACTTGCTCCACAGCTGATCGAGAAGAACAATTAGCATGGGCAATTTCGAAGATTGGAGTTTCGAGAGATACATCTCCTCAAAGGGGCAGTATCTCTCGAGTACAATAATAGTCCTCGAAGTGTTCGAGAAGATGTATCTCGACTTTTATCTAGTCAACAACTACCTTCTCGGAATCGAGGTAACACTTTCTCGAATAATTAATTTATCTCGAGATCGAGGTACTTCTCAAATCTTTTCTAATATACTTCTCGAATCTAAGTTTTCTACTATACTTCTCGAATCTAAGTTTATCTACTACTGACATCATTGGCATATTACTACTATCATATCACAATATCTTTTTTAAGCACGATCAAAGGAATCTTTCGAGGAACCAAACCTCTAGGAAAAATTCCCATCACCCTGCAACGAGGAAAACGTACTCGGGGCACAAATTGGGAAAACCCTAGGGGCAAGGAACTTGAGGGATCATCCTAACATCCTCTGGTAGACTGATACCGTTCACGAGCATCTTACACTACATGTCATTATTATATAATATTGCATCTCGATGATCCAAACACTCGCGGTCCACCGCGCAAACAAGGATACTCACGGTCCACTGCGCAAACAAGGACACTCGCGGACCACCGCGCAAACAAGGAAACTCGCGGTCCACCGCGCAAACAAGGACACCCGCGGTCCACCGCGCAAAGAAGGATACTCGCGGTCCACCGTGCAAACAAGGAACTTACTAACACAAAGACCTCCTCGAGGCATTCTACTCTCTCTATCTTGTATAGGTGACACCCGAGAACGAAAGAGTTCGAGAACTGAGGTAATACTACGAAACTCAAGGAAACATCAACACTCGTAGCAACCCATATTCTTCTCATCAAGTCTCAAGAATATGGCTTGCTAGGGGCACTTGACGAGTCATAAATTAACCCTAGGCCTATTGGGCCCAGGATTAGGTTACTTGGAGATTACGTCACCGCCTAAACCTAATACGACTAGGTTTCAGGAAATAGGTAACACCACCTCTATATAAAGAGGTGGTGTCTCTCTCATAATTCATATCTTCTACCTATCTTCTACACCTTCTACACACGACACACATCCCTCTCTCTCTATTATCTCTATTCCTTTATTGACTTAAGCATCGGAGAGTCTACACTCCGGAGACACCCGAGACTCTGTCTTGCAGGTTTTAGGCCATTTGCCGCCACCTAGGTCGTCATCGCCGCCCGCCCTAAGCACTGTACAAATCCAAGCTTCGTCAAAACTATTTATACCGAGATTCTACTCAAGATCTTTCATTATCCTTGTTTCAGGCAAGTAGCAACCTTTTGGACTTCCTTAGAAGTATTCATAACTATGATATAATTCTTCAGAAGTTTTATTTATATGTAGGCGATTCGAACTTCGTGATAAGTTTCGATAATATTCAGCCTTTTGAAACTCTACAAGAGTACAATGCTAACAAAATTATAAATGCACATATGGCTTATGAATACTCACTCTAATATTAGTTATCATCCTATCATTCCAATATGATTATAAAAACAAATAGAAATCCATGTTACAAACAAACATAACATATTAGATAGAAACAAACATAACATATTATATTAAAAAAATATGAACCTAAATATCTAGACATATGAAAACATTATAACTTGCGCAAGTCTTTTGAACTAATTTCTCGAGAATTAGGAATCATGTCCCTTTTTTTAATCTTTCGGGGATTTCATATAAACGTCATTATTAAATATCAAGTATCACGTATTAAGTGATCACTATAATCAAGAGACGCATTTCTTATCTTCATTTGCTACCAGATTAGCAAATAATAGAAGATTTTCCTTTTCATCCACCACAAGATAAATCGGGCTTTGGGACAAACTTGTGCAATAAGGAGGTTGCTCGATATCTTTTGTACAATCACCCGCCAAAATCTAGCCCGTATATCACTTGTGAAACTTCTAGTTCGCAAGTAATTTCAATTCTAAGTACACATCGTCAAGTGTGTATTGCCTCTTTTCATCTGTTGTAGCCAATAAGTTTAATATCTGCATTTACAGGAGACTTTCATTTTATGATCCTCATTTTCATTTATTTTACCGCTGCATCATAAGCAAATTTCATGTCGACATTTTATTCCTGATCGATTCCATGTTCTTTGGTAATGAGATCTCACAATCATTAAATTTTTCAAGTATTCATATACTTCTTTTGGAAGTTAATTCACCGTAATGGAAAACTATTCTAGTTCAAAATTCTTATGAATTATAATCACTTGTGTTTGCCATCTCTATAGATTTAAACCTTGTCATTTACGAGAATTTTTATCATTTGGAATTGATGGTTCTACCACCCATCAAATGGACATTCAACTAACAAATAGTGGTAGGTAGTCCTTCAGGGACACATTATCAAATTCTAAGTTTTAACAGCCTTTTATATAAGACATATTTATACATTCGGTCAGGTAAACATCTGGCCTTAAACATTATCTCTTGAACATTAGGTTCATATCATCGAGGATCATAATGCGATAATTACATTGTCCATCTAAATTTATAAATAGGCTGTTTTAACTTCTCCCCTTGATGTTAGGATAACTAACTCGCTAAACTGACGATTAACCAATCAAGTAGTTAATAAATCTCTCTTTTGGAGTAACTAACTCGTCAAACTAATACGATCAATCCATGAGTAGTTAATCCAACATCAATAATCTCAAACATTAGAGATTCAATATTCAACATATATTTCTGAACTTTTCTGGAGGTTCCATCATTGTGGTAGAATAATTATAATATAGATTACACATGTAATCTTTGAAGATAGATATGTATGGTTTATGACCGAAAACCACCGTTGGGGAGTATATCTCCAATGACCTATTTTGTCTTATGCATATAATTGGTGCCTTTTGTGTTTCAACACTTCCTCAACTGTAATGAGGTAATTATTTTAATTACACACATGTAATAAACTATTCTACTAGACTGCTTTATTATTGCTCTTATAGGCACTCAATGTTCAACTTCTATCATTCTGGTATTGAGTCATACACTCACCACAATTGTTAAATCAAAATTCTCGTAAGAGTAGAACGTGAAAATATGCAAGTTACAAATTTAACTCCATAATAAAATTTCTACAAACTTCAGGTTGCAAATTAACGAGAATCATACATGTGGCTATCTCATCGACATATCGA